TTTCCCCATCAATTTTGAAAGATAATTTTGCAGGATACAACAGTCTAGGTTGGAAGTTATTTTCTTTTAGGGCTTGAAATACTTCATTCCAGGCTCTCCTTGATTTGAGGGTTTGTGTTGAGAAGTCTGCTGTGATTCTGATGGGCTTTCCTTTGTAAGTGATTTGTTTCTTTTCCCTAACTGCTTGTAGGATTTTGTTTTTCTATTGGGTTTCTGGGCTGCCTCAGCCTGTTGAGTGCTGGGATTACAGGTGTGCACCACCACGCCTGGTGCAACTTGAATGATTTACAAACGTGTATGGTTGTCCTTATATGAGTACAAGAGGAGGCAAAGCTAATGAACGGTGATGAAACAAAGCATCATGGGTACTGGTGGGTGGGGTGGGAGCCAGGTGGGATCTTTTAGGCACAGGAAATGTTCCCTTTGTTGCCTACGTGATGGTTGTGGGATGTGTACCAAGGTAAAGGGTCATCAAATACTGCACCTCACATTATTCAAGCTTATTACAGGTCTGGTGTCTATAAACTCACTGCATGCATTGCATTAAGAAACACCAAACTTGGGGATTTAGCTCAGTGGTTCCGGTGCTTGCCTCACAAGCACAAGGTCCCAAGTTTGATCCCCGGTACCAAAAAAAGAAACACCAAACATTGCCCCTGGAGAAAACACAAATGAGTTTCCTGCAGACCTCTGGCTACACTTTTGTTAACTGCCTATGTTACATAGAGCTGATCCTGTAATAGAGAACGAATGCCCAAAGGCACTGGAACTCCTACCTGCGGGACGCTTCTCTATTTCTGCATTAGGCATGTGGTCACCTTTTTATCCTCTGGAACACAAGATCACCCTCCAGCTCGATGCTCCGTGGATATCCTGAACAGTGCAACTGCCTATGAAAAACCTCAAAAATGCAAACCTCGGGCACTAAATAAATTGCAATAGGGACCTTGTTTACTTTTTTTTTTTGTAGTACCAGGTTGAACCTAGGGCTTTGACACTGAGGTATACCCACAGAACTTTTTTAAAGTGTTTCATTTTGAGGCAGGATCTCCCTAAGTTGCCCACACTGGACTCAAACTTGTGATTTTCCTGCCTCAGCTTTTCAGAATGCTGAGATCACACATGTGCATCACTACACCTGCCTGAATTTTTAATTCCTATCCTGTATCTGGGGCCCTGTTTGGCTGGGCTAGAATCCTGTTTGTACTGAGGGCCTCACATTTTTCTCTATGACCAGTGTGTCAGCAAATGACCTCAAAAGTAGTGCAAGTTCTGGTTTAGGGGTTCCAAATAAAATTTAACCAGGAGGAAAATTCACAAATAATGAGGATTATTATCTAACTCAATTTAAAAAGTTTTAAGAAAATAGGAACTGGACATGGTGGTATATGTCTATAATCCCAGCACTTGGGAGGCTGAGGCAGGAGGATTGCCTAGGTTTGAGGCCAACCTGGGCTACATAGTGAGTTCAAGGCCAGCCTGAACAATATAGGGAGTTCCTGTCTCAGGAAAAAATAAATAAATAAATAAATAAGGTGACTCTCTGGACATTAGAAAATTTGCTGTCCAATACATTTTCCGGAATAGACTTGATTGGTTTCCCACCCTGTTCATAAGTCAGTCTCTTTCTGCATCATTTTCGCTCCCTGCTGAGAGAGAAGCATTGGTTGAGTGCCTGCTGTATGCCCAGACATGGCCATGTGACATAAATGACAAATGCCTCAGAAATGAAGGACAGATTTGGCTGGGGACCCAGCTCAGTGGTCCAGCACTTGCAACTCAGTGCTTCCACCTGCAGCACCACAAAAAGAGAAAAAGAGAAAAGGCTCTTCAGGTAAACTCGTCTGCACAGGTGCAAGCAGGCACTTTCTTAAATGCCTTTTGCTCTGGTTTTGTTTTTTGAGACAGTGTCTCCCTAGGTGGCACAGGCTGGCCTGGATACTGAGATCCTCCCACCTCAGACTCACAGAGCGCTGGGATTACAGGGCTGCAACCCCAGGCCCAGCCCCAGTTACTTCAACAGAAAAATCAAGGACACGTGCTGAAAAGTTAAGATCCTAAAGATATAAAAAGGCACAGAAAGGAAAGTAACCCAGCCCCACACCTCCTGAATGCCATGAATTTTTCTTTCTTGTAGTGCTGGCCACTCAGTGCCATCAAGCTAAACCCCTAGCCCTTCTTTATACAGCAAATTTGGGGGGTTTTGAAAATGTGCCCATGGCTTCCTCTCTCACAACTCAAATAACCTTAATTTCAGTCCCAGAGCAGCTTACAGAGGAGGCTTCGGCAAATGGGATCGCTTCTCTCAGCTTCCGGGGCTGTTCTGTTACCGCCGAGAGGCTCCTGGACTCATTTCTTAGGGGATGAGATGTCATCGCCTAGGAATTTTCCAGACAGTTTTGAAGGTACATTTCAGGTTTCTACACGTCCAAAGGGTGTCTGGGAATCTGCGTGTGTGTGTGTGTGTGTGTGTGTGTGTGTGTGTGTGTGTGTGTGTGTGTCTAGGCATTCGGGGATGGCACCTTGGGCTCCACTGGGAGGCCTGGGCAGGCGCTGCCTCTGTGGACGGGCGTCCTGGAGCTCACCGCACAGGGTCCTGGGAGTCAGACGCAGCCCGCAGAGCCACCTGCGCAACTTTCTGTGAGGACTGGCACAGCAGAGCAGAGCTCTGCATCTTTCGCTTCCCTCCCCTCTCCCTTCCCCTCCCCCTCCCCTTCTCTCTCCCCTCCCTTCCTCTTCTTTCTTTCTTTGCTGAGGGTGAAACCCAGGGCCTCGCACAACCTAGGAAACGCTCTGCCACTGACCAACATGCCCAGCCCTGAAGTTTGCATTGCAGGGGATTTAGCTCAGTGGATTTAGCAAGCGCAAGGTTCAGAGTTCGATCCCTGGTACAAAAAAAAAAAGTTCTACAGCATTTTCACAAACACTGTTTTGTTTTGTTTACAGTACTGTACTAGGGATTGAACCTGGGGCCTTCTCACTGAGCTATATTCCTAGCCTTTTAAAAAATTCTACTTTTTTTTTTACACATTTTAGTTAATGTATTGCAATAAATTGGCTTACACAGTTGTGGAGCTGCCAGACACATCTGAAATCTGCAGAGCAGGCATCAGGACGGGCAGACTGGAACCCTGGGGAAAGAAGCTGAACTGTGGTCCCCAGAACTAATTTCCTCATTAAAATTCTACTTTGAAAATACAGTGAATTTGGGAGGATTATTTCACTCAAAAATAAACAAATACATACACAAATAAATAATACTTTTATTTTGAGGCAGGCTAAATTGACTAGGCTGGGCTTGAATTTGTAATCCTCCTGCATCAGTCTCCCAGAGTGCCAGGATTAGAGCAATGTGCCACTGTGCCCAGGCTGACAAACACTTCTAATCCAGGCATGGTAGGTAGCACAGACCTACAGTCCCAGCTACTTGAGAGGCTGAGGCAGGAGGATCCCTTGAGCCCTGGATTCAAGGCCAGTGTGGGGAGTATAACAAGACCCTGTCCCTAAAACAAACAAACAAACAAACAAACAACTTTTAGAGTAGGTGGACAGTTTCTTACCCATCATACTTTTACCATATAAACAGCCATTCCATCCTAAGTATCTATCCCCCCCAAATGGTAATATAGGGCCCCACAGAATTGTACACAAACGGTTATAGCAGCATTGTTCACTATAGTTCAAAGCGAAAGCAATGAGATGCCCATCAGCTGATGAACAGATATATAAAACACAGACTCTATACATTGGAATTTTAAGATTTCTTATTTTATTGTTTCTAGATAGGATGTAGTGGACAGTGCCCTGTCCACTATCATTCCCAGTGATGTTGAACGAGTCAGAGTCCCAGCAGAAGAAATGAGGTCCTCAAATTCATCCTGCCCACAGAAGTGGCCTTCGGGTAGACAAAGCGTGACAGTAAGAACCACAAGAAAATGCATCAGTATCCACCGGGTTCTGGCCTCTGCACTGTGCATCTACTGTGTGACCCCTGGCCATTCTGCTACTGGGGCAGCAAAGGCCTGGGCGTATTTGGGATTCTTGCCTCCAAGCAAGAAACTGGGTCCTGTTAATTAGACAGTAATGGAGTTTGATGCTAAGATACCAGGACTTCAAGAATCATCTGTACTCAGCGGAGCCAGGAGAGTCGAGGATGAAGCCCGCAGGGACAGGAACACCAGAGGAGGTGATGAGTTTGCTCCTGCATGGCAGCTGCCCAGCTGGTGATGGACACATTTCCTCTGCTCTGTCCTGCTTTTCTTCCCTCCAACTCCAGGGTTCATCCCTTGCCTTGGCTTGCTCTGTCACCCTTGCCCTCCTGTCCGCCATTATATAATTGTCCCCTGTCCCAGGGGCTTAATGTAACCAAGTCACCTCAGGTTCCCAGTCCCACCTCGAAGCTTCTACCTCCGCTTGCCTGTCTGGTGCAATCTTTCCCAGTTGACTGGGTCAAGCCGGAGCAGAGAAGGATGAAGACAGAGGAGAAGGGGAAGGGGAAGGGGGAGGGGGAGAAGACGGGGAGGGGGAGGGAAGGGGGAGGAGAAGGGGGAGGAAGAAAAGGAGGAGAAGGTGAAGGAAAGGGAGGAGGAGCTCAGCCCTTGGCCCAGCAGTGGGCTTTGCAGGCACAAGGCTCACCCACCAGGAACATTCTGTTCTTCACACGAAGGCCCAGCCTGTCCCTCTTGGGGAACATCTGAATGCGGGAGGCTTTCTGATCATTTCCTTTTCTGTGCCTCAACTTCCACTTCTACAAAACAGGGAAACGGCACACCTCATGGGGTTGCCAAGAGAATCATGAGAGTTTATGCTGTTTAGAACAGTACCTGGTAAACTCTAAATGCGGTATAAATATTTGTTGTTCTTTCTGGAGAGATGATTCCAGTAGATAAGTATAATTTAATGGTTCTCAAAATGGATGGTCTTGGAAACCTTTTATGCTTTAAAATTAATAAATAATACCCAGGTATGGTGGCACACACCTGTGGCCAGCTACTGGGGAGGCTGAGGCAGGAGGATTGTTTATATCCAGAAGCTTAAGGCCAGCCTGGGCAACATAATGAAACCAGCATCAAGCCCTGAGTTCAAGCCCCAGCACTGTAAAAAGAGAGAAAAGAAAAATATAAAAGACGCAAAGACAGAAAAGGAGGAGCAGGAGACCTCAAGAAAGATACTTTATGTCCTACCGCCAACAGAACCACCACCTGGTAGGGGGTAAGTGATATTGTCTTAACTTAAAAGAACTTCGAGGAGATAATATCTGTAGACAAATAGCAATATTTACCTTCTTTTAAAATAAAACCAAGAATTTTTTGAAAGATTCATTTAAAAACAATAATAATCCCATTATATATTAACATAAACCCTTTTATGAAAAAACCTGTATTTTCCAAAACAAAAAGCAATTAGTGAGAAGCACAGAGATACTTTGCAGGGTTTGAAAGTCTCCATAATGTCTGCTGTAAGAGAAGACGGCAGCGCCTCACATCTGCGGCTGCTCAGCCTGTTGCAGTACCATGGATCTGGAAGCTGCTGGAAGCTACTCTGTGCCTCCATGCCGGTGAGAAGGGACACCGAGGCCTTAGAGCTGTCCTTAAAACAGTTCTCATCTTGCAGATCCCAGGGAGGTTCCGCAGGCCACACTTGGAGGACTACATGGTACAGTGAGGAAAAGAGGGAGAAGAGAGAAACTCGTGTGTTTTCCTATTTCCACAATATTCATTAATGAATCAACTGTGAGATCACCTATATTCTAACTTGCGGGATAACAAAGATTCCTAGTGGTCAGGCAATAATAATTCTCCTGTAATGTGAATGCTTCCTGGCAGCTTTGAAGACATTAGGACAGTTTCCCTATGGTGGCCTCACAAGGGCTTTGACCAAGCAATTTTGTGGACAACAGCAGTCAAGGTCCTGTGGGAATCATTGGAGGAAAGGAAGAGTAGGTGGCTGCCAGTGGTAATTTGTGGACACCGATGGAGACTGGGAACTCCTAGAAATATCTAGAGGAGGAAGAGGGGAAGCACCTTGCAACAGTGACTGAATCGTCCAGTAGGTAATGGACAGCATAAGTCACAGACTTAGGACATGAAAAGGAATCAAACAATGCAGCAATTGATTGATGATGTCTGTCATAGAGACAAAACAGTGAAACAGTAGCAATGTTATCCTACATTTGCACAGCTGGTGCTCCTGGTGCAGACAGCATAAAGTGTTCCCCATTATTCCTCCAGGGGAAAGTCAAGTGCTAGAGTCTCTGGAGAGCCTCAGCCCCTTCTTTGCCAGGCCAGGCAAGGGTCTGAGGGACTCCAGTAGGAGATCCTGCCACAAGTCTGCCTCTCCCATCAACTGAAGCTCCCATGGCACCCAGCTTCTGGCACAGAGCCTGGCACTTAGCAGACACCATCAGGGTCACATGATCAGGGAATCACCTGCCTAAGGCAATTCAAAGGGCACTTCAAATAGATCAGATGTCTGGATTCCACCATTTCATCCAGTTTCTCCATGGAGTCGGTTGATGTTTCAGAAGTGGCACCTGCAAGGCAGCAGCAAGGAGAAGTGGGGAGTCATAGATAATGGGGCCCAAACCCCACCTCTGCACTAACCAGCCAGGGACTGTGGGAAAGCCCCAATCTATCCAAGTCTCAGTTTCATCATACGCAAGGTATAGACACTTACCAACCAAAGACCCCCTGTGATGCCAAGATGATTTGTGGAGATGGATGGACAGCTGGAAAGCCATTTGGGATATGAGGTAATTACTTGCAGAATAAAGAGGCTCCTGAAAGGTCTGGGCAAAGAACAGACATACTTTAATGGGGGAATGTCTCAGTTACTCCCTTGTTGCTGAGATAAAATACCAGATACTAAAAGTTAAAGGAGGAAAGGTTTATTTTAGCTCACCATTTGTAGAAGTTTAGTCACTAATCTGGCTCCAAGGAAGGGCAGCATGGCAGAGGGGCTATCACAGAGGAGAAACAGTCCATGGCAGGGTGAGCAGAAAGCAGCAAGCTGTGAGCAAGCAGCAAGCAAGTTAGCAAGGCTTCCTTTCCCTTTTATCCCACCCAGGCTACAAGCCTACTGGATGGTGCTACCCACTCCCAGGGTGGGCCTTCCTATTACCCACACTCAAAACTGTGCTAAATCAATGAGTGGACTAATCCAGTTATCACACCCTTAATCCAGTATCACACACCCATGATCCATCCACTCCCAAAAGCCCCACCTGGAAGCACATGAGGCTTTGGGGGACATTTTAGATATAAACCATAACAGGAAAGCAAGGCTGAAATTTAATTATTCTTTCAGTCAACAAATATTTGATGAACCATGCACTGTGTAGGTCATGGGATACAAGAAAGAACATGAGACGTGGTTTTTCTCCTCTCTGATGTTAAATACACACTGTGCATTCAGTAGCTACTGGCTACCTGTGGCCATCTATATTTAAATTACCAAAAGTAAATAAAACAAAGTGCAATTCCACACTCATACTAGTCACATGTAACGTACCAGGGGCCACCAGATTGGACAGTCCTGGGGTTCAGCCTGGTGGGAGGGACAGACACCACAGCCTCGCAGACACCTGACTATGAACCATGACGTGGTCAGTTGGAAGTCACAGCTCCAGCATTTTTCAGGGCCACGGAAGCCACTCTTTTTTCATTAGCCAGAACTGGACTGAGCATCCAAGAGCCTGACACCACTCCCTGTATCACCTAGAGTTATTCTTTCCCAGGGTGGGGCCCCGGGAGCCCTCCAGGGACATGAGATGCCTCTGGGGCAGTGTCTGACTTTGCAGCAGGCGGAGGGATGCACCTACCACCAGAATCCTCCTTCATTTTCACTCCTTCCTTCCAAAATATCGTCATCCATTATGATCAAGGTCTCTCTAAAAACAAGCCGGGGAAAGGAATGTAACTGTAATTCCAATATTAGTAGCTCCTACTAAGGATTTTACAAGTGCCAGAACTTGTGTAAAGCCCTTCTCAGGTCTCGTTTGTTTACCCGGATAGGCATGTACTACTAAAACGAGCTCTGTTTTACAGGAGAGAACACTGAGGCTCAGAAGGCCGAATCTGCGCGCTACGGAAGAACCTCGGCGACAGTTCCACAAGACACCACCAGGAGCCAGTGCCGGTCCACGTTCCACTTCCGCCGTCCAGCGGGAGCACGCGGAATAAAGGTGCTGCAGATATTTGGTGAGCGCCCCCGGGGTGCCAGGCCCTGCTCTGGGCTCAAAGGATACGTCAGCAAATTCGGGGGTGGAGGGGAATCTGCCCTAGGCATTCTTCTCTCCCACTCTTACTTAAAAATAAAAGGCATTTCGCAGAGTTGCATGTCCGAGGGGTACGTGGCCTGACCCGGAAAAAACCAGCTTGAAGGACCCCGAACTGGAAGCCCGAGGCAGCAGGCTCGCGGGAAGGGATGGGAGCTTCGGGAAAGTCTGCCCCAAACTCGGGCGCAGCAGCACGCCTCGGAAAGGGTGGGTCCCGGGGCCAGCCTTCGCAAAGGTCGCCTGCCCGCGGTGTCTTCCTGTTCCGTGGGGCCGGGAGAGGGACAGTCACCCTGGGAAACTAGAGGGGGCAGAAGGGTGACCCAAAACGCCGCGGAGGGACGACCGGAAAGGGCCCCCAGCTTTTGAACTGAAGATCAACCCGAGAATCAGCCCCGTCGGGGTGCTTGGAGAGCAGCCCCCCAAGTCTGGTGGGGCAGCGCTGACCTCTGACAGGCGGGGGCACTGGGAGGCGACTAAGTGCCCAGGTTGGGGCTGCCTGCACCTCTCCTTCACGCAGGCCGGGACCTTGGGGTGCGCGCACCCGGACAGCGGAGGACGCGTGCGTGCGTGGGTGGCGTGCACTGGACTCAGCGTGCAAAGGGACAAGGACACGCGGGAGTGTGACCAGGAGGGACTCACCTGGAGGAGCCCGAGCCGCGTGCGCGTGCCTAGGTGTGGACTGGGGCACCGGTGACTTCGGGGTGCGCGTGTTCTGGCCCTGGTGCTGGTGGGGCACGGGGAAGTCACCGCCGGAGCCCACGCTGGAGTTTGTCCTGGCTGGGGAAGGCTTTGCCCCGGGACCCCGAGGGAGTATTCCTCCGTGCGTGCGTGCTGACCAGGACGTGTCTGCACATGCCGCCTCGGCCGCCGGGGCAAACGGTGGCGTGTGGGCAACGGTCCTCGAATTTCGGGCGCTGGAGGCTGGGGAGTGGTCTCAGATCCGAGCGGCCGGCGGGCCGGGGGCGGGGCCGGGGGCGGGGCCTGGAGGGCGGGGCCGCGGCCGCTGCAGCAGCGCGGGCCGGGCCAGGGGGCGCCGTGCGCGGCAGCGGCTCTCGAGGGCACTGCGGTGAGGCGCGAGCGGCGTGCGGGCTTGTGCGGGGCCGGGGCCGCGGCCGCGCTGCGGAGATGTGACTCGGGCCGAGGGCCAGCGGGGGCGTGGGCGCTGCGGGGCGCGGGCTCGGTGAGTGCGAGCCCTGCGGACGCCGTGGAGGGCGCTGCGGGGACCCCAGAAACTTTTGGCGCCGTGGGCAGGGGACGGCCGGAGGGTCCGCTTCTCTGGCTTGGCTGGCCTCCGCTCCCTCCCGGGTTACTGTGCAGGGGGACACTTGGGGGCCTGGTGGGGGAGCCACAGTGCGGCTGGAGAGGAGCCGCAGAGGCGGGGCGGGGGAGGAGGGGCCGAGGACCTTTATCTGCGGGGCTGGGGCGCTGCGTGCCCGGACCAGGTGCAGCTCCAAGTCCCTGGGGGGTGCCGGGGTGACCGCGGGTAAAGGGCAGCGGCGCGCGGGGGACTCATGTGAGCGGAGCCTCGGGCGGCACCGGGCCGCGGGGCGGGCGGGTGGAGAGGGGCCGCGTCCGGGGAGACGGAGCGGGGCGCGAGGGCGGGACTTGGGGGCCGAGCAGCCGCACCTGCCGCAGGGCCTGGGCAGAGCTGGCGGCGGAGGCCAGCACCCCTGGGCTGGGGCGGGGGGCTGAGACCTGAGTCTGGGGGACAAATGGGGACGGGAGGTGGGGCGGCTGCGTGCAAGGGAAGAGGGTCGTTTCCGTTCCAGACACGGAACACTAGGGCCTCTGAGAGAGGCGGCCAGGCTAGGGTAAGGACCAACCCTGAGCTGTGTCCCCTCTTCGTCGGGGACACGGGTTTCCATCCTCGTGAGGACCCCTCACGTAGATCGCCGGAGTGCAGCCGTCACCCTCCTGGGCCCCGGGGCGCTGGTTAACCCGGCTGGCAGGGGCGCACCGACCTTGCCCCGAGGACGCCCCAGCGCGGCGGGCTCCTTCCCCGTCCTTGCTCTGTCACACCGTGGCCCAGCCAGTTCCCCTCGAGTCCCCCGCTCGCTAAGGGGGCGGCTTTTGGAGCTCGGACAAAGGCCCCTGGAGGGTGGCGGGCAGTACCGTCCCCGCCTGGGGCCCCGGCACACGCAGCACACTGACGGCCCAACTGCGGCGGGAGGGGGGCGCCCTGAGTGGAGCCCGGGAAGCACCGGGGGTCCTCGCAAAGACAAGGGGCGTGGGGGAGGGGCCGGGCGCGAGACCTCCGCACTTCAGCCCAGGACCGTTATTTCAGAAGTTTCTTCTTCCGCGGGGACTCGGGGGCTTTTGAAGTAGCCAGACTTCGAGTTAAACTGCATGCAAATGACATGTAAATAGAGTGAAAATTGGCAGCTGTTGGTTGGGAGCCCTGCCCCCGGCCGGTTTTCGCTCTAGACTGTGGAGTGAACATTGTTTGCAGTCGGTTGCCTGCTCTGAGTCTCAAAGTGGGCGAGCTGAGTCCGGAGGGGAGAAGGTGGGAGGGGCAAGGAGTCGCCGTGTGGGGCTCAGGCAGCAAGACCTACAGGTGTGTTAGAAAGATAAAATCTTTATTGTCTATTTCTTAATTTCCACAGAGGTGCCAGCCAGGGTGCTAGGGTACCCCTTGTGTAAAATGGACAGGTCCCTGCTGTTAGGGGGCCGAGGAGATGGATGAACAGACACTAACGAGGCAGATGAAGAGCAAATGGACCGTCCGACGGGCTGGGGCTGCAGGAGAGTAAGACAGGGCGCCTAAAGGGAAGTGGCAGGTGTGTACAGGCGAGATGGGGCTGGCCCCGGAGGGAGATGTTGGGGAAAGAGAGAACCAGGCGGAGGACACAGCTAGTGCAAGGCTTGGAGGTGGGAATGAGCTCAGAGGAACTGAACAAAGGCCACTGTGGCCAGAGCTGGAGGCAGATTTGGGGGTGGGGGTGGGTGGCAGGCATCAGCCAGATCACCATCTTCGGGCCCTGGAAGAGAGTTGAGGGTTACTTCTGTTGGGCTGGTGAACTCTTGGAGCACTTTGAGCAGGAATCCACAAGATCTGATTTTTTTGAAAGCTCCCTGGACAAGGAAGTGGGCAGCAGCCCCTTTTCCATTCGGCCTGTGAGGGTGCCAGGCACCCTGCGGCCTGTGAGAACCACGCTGGGCCTGCCCAGCCCGGTGAGCCAACTGGAGGAGTGGCTTGGGCTTCCCGACCCACTTCCCACTTTCAGACCGTTCTTACCCTAAGGGGGCTCCACAGAGAGCCCAGGGCCCTGTAAGCCCTTCCGCCAGGAGCTTACTGAGGGTTCCTGGTTAGTCCCTTTTACAGCCGAGGAACCACCTGGGTGGAAGGGGCAGCCAAGGATCCAATTTGCATCTAAATGATTGCTTTTATTTACTGGGTTGGAGCTGCTTTGCATATTCATGAATCCTAGAGCTTGTGTTTTTGCAGCCCTTTTCACTAACCTCTGAGAGTTTTTAAATTTGAGAGCCCCCAAAATAGGCCAGTGTCTTAAGCCAGCGTTGGGAAATGAAGATTATGAGATCGTGTAACTCGGAAAAGATATCAGGGGCGTCTTTCGGATCTGGGAAAGAGCTTGATGTCAGGAAACCTTGTAACCCTTGAATCCAGCAAGGCAGAAAATGCAGCAGCGCTCCAGTGGGAGTGGGCTGGGACAGTACGATGCTGAGGGTGTGGGGAGCCCAGCTCCTGGCCTCTGCCAGACATGAGTGGAGTCGAAACGGGAGTCCAGTGGAACAGCCTTGGGGTCAGGAGCTGGGAGAAACTGGTTCCAGTCCCAGCGTGGCCTGTCATTTCCAGTAAGCCTCTGCCCAGCTGTTAACCTTTCTGCCCTCCTTGTGCCAACAGAGCAGTGGTGTTTGGAGGCTTTTTAACGGGTAGCTACCCTTGCTTCCTCTGTGCCAGGGACCGAGCTCCTTTTCCATCGTCTGGGGATGTAGCTAAGTGTCACAACACTTGCCTAGCTTGCTCAAGGCGGTGGGTTCCGTCCCCAGCACTGACAAGCAAGAGAAAAGGTCAACCCTGCCCCATCCCCCTTGGCAGTACTTTTCAAACCAGCCCTGTGAAGGTGGTGCGGTCATCCCCATTTTATAGATGAGGAGACCGAGGTTCAGAGAAATGATGTTCAGTGTTATACTTTCGTCTGACTCCCCTCTCCTGGCCTCTGTGCTGCTGAGATCTTCCATTCTGGAGGAGTCTGATGGGAGTGGAAACTGTGCCAGATATTCATCTGGGTGCTGAACTACTAAATGTACCTGGGGTAGGACAGCTATGCACACACACCCGTGCTGGGGAGAGTTCCCCTCCTTGTTGCAGTGCCTCCCCTCATCTTTATGGGGGTGGTGTCAACATGCCTCTGACTTCCGGGCACTGGGAAAGGACCTGGGTGGAAGGTGAATGACCTTTTGTTTCTTCTTTCCCATGGGAGGGTGGGAAAGGATCCTGGCTCCGGAGAGGGCTGGGCCTTGGTCTCCCTGAGTCCTGGCTCTGACCTCACAAACAAGACACTTGGCTTGAGGACCCCTGGGCTGGCCTTGGGTTCTGCCTTTGTAGTGAGGCTCCCACCTGGACCACCTGCCCAGCATAGCAGGGGCATTTGGGGCTCCCCAGAGTAGACCACCCCAAAAGGCATCTCCCCCTTCACCACCACCTCATGGACCTAATTGCTTGGTGTGTGGTAGAGAAAACCAGAGTCCAGTGGTGGGAAAACACCTCGGTGAGACACACACATCCACATGCACACACACACACACACACACACACACACACACACCATCTCCATGGCAACTGGGCCTCTAGAAAAACAGTTTCAGAGGAATTCATTGCTCCAGATAAGGGAGCATTTGACAGTCTTTTTTATTCACTTAACAGATACTTTATATATAAGTGCTTACCCACGTTAACTACTCTCCTAAACCCCAATTATTAGTCATCATAATCTTCACCACAACTCAGGAGAGGCCAGTAGTATCATCCTCCTTTTGCAGATAAGGAAATGAAGGCAAAAAACAAAAAGATTAACTTGGCCACTCACAGTGACGAGGGATATGGGGCAGGGTTGATCTTTTTTCCTTCTTGGCGGTGTTGGGGGTGGAACCCAAAGCCTTGAGCAAGCTAGGTGAATATTGTGCCGCTCACCTAGCCGTCCCCAGCCCTTGGGGCAGGATTTAAAACTGGGAGGTCTGACTCTGAAGTTCATCGCTTTGAGAAGCTGGGCTAGGAGAACCAGACCTGTGCGTGGCCCGGACAGGCCTAGCTGTTCTCAGACAAGAAAGTGTCCCCGCATCCTTTCCAGACTCTGCAGCGTGCAGTGCATGGGGAAACAGGAGGCTGTCTCTCCACCTGCCAGCAGAGCTGCTTCTGCTGCCTGTGCAGAGTGCTTGCACTGGTGTGTGTGTGTGTACACGTGTGCATGTGCTGTGTGCAGTGTATGCGGGTGCATTTCAGAACATGAATGACTCACATTTTGGCAAGTCTGGCTGGCAGCAAAGGTAATTAGTATGTAAGCCGAGTCTCGCAAGTTCGTTCACATTTATTCACTACTCCTTTGGCAGAGTCACCACCAGGGTAGCTGCCATGTATTCATCCGATTCCCAGTGGCCCTGCCTTGGGGCTGACTTGGAACCTCTAATCTGGTATCGGGCCGGGTGGGGGCTTCTGGAAAGCTGCCCAGCTGTTGGTGGTGTCTGCACCGTGGACATTGCCTGAGGAAGGAGCAGGGCTTCCTGCTGGATGTGTCCTTGGCCTCCTTGCCCAATGTACCCCAGAATCACCCGCAGGGCTTGTGGACACAGGTAGCCAGACCCCCGAGAGCCTGCTGACAGGCCCCACATTGGTCCTGCAGTGCCATTCCAGCATCAGACTTTGAGTCTAACCTGCCAGACCCTGGGGTTCCTCCTCTGTAAATGGAAATGGGAACCCTGGCCTTCCAGGGTGATCTGAAGGTTAAAGTCTAAATCTGTTCAGCCCCAGAGTGCCAGAACAAGACAGGCAGCCTGGGCTGGAGGTGGGATGGGGAGGAACTGGTCAAAAGAGTAATAAAATAAAATAATGGAAAATTGTGGCCTGTGCTACAAAGATATGGATCAAAAGCACTGGCATGGAGTCCGGCAGGGCAGGGAGAACCTAATTTGGACAGACTGGCTGGCTCGCAATTCTCACCAAGCGCTCAGAAACAACTGCACCATTATTGGCCTGTGGGCTCCGCCACTTTGTAGCTTCGCGACCTTGGACCAGCCCTGTGACCCCCTCGACTCACGGTGTTGTCTCCTGTAAATGGAGGTGGGAATCCTGATTGGGTTGTTCCACAGATTCTTGGGTGTTGTATGTGTAGTGTGCACAGAAGAGTGCTGGCCAGAGCACAGCACCGGCTTTCGGCCATCGTCGCTGTCCCTGGGGCATTCTTGGTATGAGAAATCAGGCCTGAGCCTGTGCTTTTGGCTTGGATGTGATTCACCCCCAACCTCAGCCATCCTGCCCACTGTTCCATGGAGTGGGGTAGTTGTCACTCTGTGGGCATCTTCAGAATGAGAGTGACCTGCTCTGGCAACTGGACCCTTCCTGTCACTGCCAGCTGCTGTAGGCTTCATCTGTGCATCTACATGTTGCATAGGGAGAACTTCCTGGAAGAAGTCGGCCATTCCATGTGGGACGCATGTGAGAACTTCTTGAGAAGTGACAGAAGTCCAGTTGAAACTGGCTGAATTGCAAAGAGGGAAGTTAATTGGCTGCTGGAATTGCAAAGTCGCGATCTGGCTTCCAGCGTAGGAGTCCAGCCATTCCATGTATTAGGACTCTACTCCATCCCTTGTTGTTTGGGACAGGTCCTCTCCCTATATGGCATATTTGTCCTTCTCCATTGCCAGGCTTCTAGCCTTCTAGCTTATCAAGCCCAGCAAAAGAGAAGACCTCGTTCTAGTTCATGCTAGCAAAAATCCTAGGGGTGATTCTCATGGGTCTGGTTTGGCTGGGTGTCTGTAGGTGAACCAGTTAGTTGGGACCAACCAGTAGGATCCATAGTCTGATTCACCAGGCCTGGGTTAAGTGCCACCTGAAGGTATGAAAGCAAAGAGTAAGAGTGTATCCATTTTCTGTGTAGGAAAGGAGCCAGGAGCTAGCAATCTGGACCAGGGCCATAAGAATTCTGTGCAGTGTCAGAACCTTGCACACCATCTTGGTGTTTTTATCATTTCCATTGGTTTCCTGTAATGGCTAGAAGGTCAGCCAGGAAGTGGGAGTGGGGAACTGGGGAAACCAAGAGCAATTTGCCTGGAAAGAGGAACTCCCCCTGAGAGAAGAGGCACAACTCAAGAAGGAGTGTGGGACCCAGGCCTGAGGCTGGGAGACCGGGCTGCTCTGGCATCTTTCCCACAGTCTCTATCTTTATATCTAAGGCAGGTTTCCCAACCTTGACACTATTAATTTATGGACTAGGTGGTTCTTTGTGATGAGGACTGTTCTCTCCCCAGTTGCGACAACCAGAAGCACCCCGAAGTATTGTCAAATGTCCCCATCCCTGGTTGAGAACCTTTGGCCTCAGGATACATTGTGTAGAGGGATGGTGATCCAGACTCCAGACTCCCTGTGTGTCATTGTCCTGGCCACCAGGGGGTGGATGGAATTGGCTGCAACCTAGAGAAACTGCCTGGATGTTTTGCCGAGACTGGTTGGAACTCTCTTGATGGAGTCTGCCACGGATGATATATCTGAGGAAAATCCACTCCAGGTTCTCCGCCATGTCAGGGACTGATGGCATCTTGTTTTGACACATCCAGGTCTTAAGTTTTGGTTCCCAGCCTGCTTTCAGGACCTTGGGATAAGCAGTTCTGACTAGAGTGATGTTTCTCCAAAGGGTGATACTTTGGGATATGCCCAGGGGTTGTGCAGTTATATCAACATGCAGTTTTAAAATGTCAGGAGAGAAATATTTTAATGCGTTAGATTTCTTTCAAGTAGGTTGATGTTAAGAAACCAGTCAGTTTCCTGCACAGGCAGTACGTGAACAAAGCATAAATGGCTTTGGTGACTGGACCACAGGCCCACTGTCAGTGTCTGGGGTACATCCTCACCCCTACATTGGCCTGAGAACAAGGCCAGGTCGTGCTTAAGGGATCCCTCTGAGCCTGCTCCCGTCTGTAGGCAGAGGCGATGGTCCCCATCCCACCAGGCGCCTTCTCTTTCTTCAACATTAATAATTTATGCCCATCAGTGGCCTCACAGCCAAGCAGGATCTCAGACGTGGACTCTCCGTAAAGGAGCAGAGAGAAGTGGTCGATACGCATTTACTTACAGAAGCCCCAGGGACCAGCCAGCACTGCTGGAAGTGGGACCTATTACAGCCCCACACTCAGGCCGAGCTGTAGTGGATCCAGCTTGAGATGGCTGGAAATGAGCACCGAGTACAGCTCTATGGGCCTTGGCTTCTTGAAAGCCTGGCCCCTTTGAAAAGCTAGGAGCTTGTGGCAATGGGCGAGAGGACAGTCCTGATGAACAGGGCTGTCATTGTTGCGAGACTGCTCAGCACCTGCTTCATGCCCGGCACCATGCACTAGGATTTAAGTGTTCATTGGAAGCCCTCATCTGAGTGAGCTTCCCAATCAGGACATCTGGCAGGGTCCAGTGACGTCTTCGAAGGATGGTCACACCTGGGGGAGGGGACGGGCTGTTTGCACCTGGTTTGTAAAGGCAAGGATTCTGCTCAACACTCTTATGGTGCACGGGACAGACTCCCACAGCAAAGAACAATCCAGCCCAGACGCCAGCCGTGCCGGGGTTGGGAAAGCCTGGTCCACTGATGAGCAAGAGAGACAGTGTCCCTGCCCTGCCACATTTTGCAGAGAACAGACAGGAAGGGAGGAAAGGAAGAGAAAAAGCAACAAAGTAAATTAGGGACAAAGAAAAGGGTCCGAGTTGATTAGTGCTCGGGAAGGAGGCGGGGGCTGCAGTGGAGAGCAGTGGTGACGGGGCCTTGGCCAAGGTCGGGTCGATGGGGCCAGCTTCCTGTGCAGGGGGCGAGGTGTCCAAGCCCAGAGAGCCAGAGGGAAAGGAGACTCGGGTCAGGCCAGCTTGCCTGGCAGCAAGGGAAAGCAGCAGGGAAGGTCTGCACACAGGGAGAGACGGAGGGGGGGTTCCAAGATCCAGAGCCTCCGGAGCTCTTTGGAGGAGGTTGGGGTACGTGACGGGGAGCCAAAGCGTGCAGCCGAGGCAGACAGCTCGGATATCCAGTGGCCCCCAGGTATTTACAGGGCTTCACTTCTGGGACCCCATAGATACCAGTGTCTGCAATGCCAACACCGGAGGACGCACAGACCCCTTATGGAAAATGACATAGCAGAGCATTTGCGTATATGTAGCCTACTTACCTCTTCCTGTGCATTTCAGAAGTCTACGTGATCCCTAACACTATGTGAATGCTGTGCAAACAGCTGTTACGCTGTGTTGTTCAGGGAACGGTGACAAGGAGAATGTATCTGTGCATGCTCAGGACGGTCACAATGTGTTCCTCTCCATATTCTCCGTCCCAGATTGGCTGCGTCCAGGGAGAGAGAAACGCCCTAGGTAAAAGGGCTGACTGCTACCCAGGGAATATGGGAGACTTGTGACAAGGGCTCCCTCTAGGGTCTGGGTTGTATGGCCTGGCGGAAATGTCACCCCCTGGAGGCCCTGTTTGTCACTTGCAAAATGGAGGTCACAGTAGGCCCTACCTCAGGAGCATTATGAGGACCAGTCTTGCCCAGTGTTCAGGAAATGGAAGCTGTCGGCTTTAAGAGACTGAGGGAGGAACGCGTGCTGTTCTTCGAGGGTGGTGCCTGGCTTGTGGCTGGCTCTTTAAAGTTTCGTCTTATTCCCTTATTTTGAAAAGGTCAGACGTGGCCTGGAGTATCAGATTGAAAGAACACAAAAGGGTATACTGAGAAGGTGAGTCACCCCCCCGCCAGGTCCTCTAGCCAGGAGTGATGGTGATTCAGCGTTGGCCTGTACCCAGCCGAGGATGCAGATGGGAGATAGAGCCCCCACAGAGAGCCCACAGTGCCTGGAGAAAGGAAGACGCTGGATGTGTCTAGAGGTGCGGGTGGGCTACAGGCTTGAAATGAAACAGCTCTCTCTCCCACAAGAAATCAGCAGAAGCCCGGCATGGCGGCACACGCTTGCAAATGTAGCATTCTGGGCGGCTGAGGCGGGATCACAGGTTTGAGCCCAGCCTGGGCAACTTAGGAACTTAGGGAGTCCCCATCTCAGAATAAAATTTTATAAAAGGGCTGGAGATGTAGTTCAGTGCGAAGGCCCTGGGTTCAATCCCCAGTACCGGAAGAAAAAACAGAAGAGCAGGAGTTTCACAGTGAATGGATCTTTCCCCCTAACCATCCTCACCCCTGTTTTTAGAACGTTCCTGGTGTCAGAGAGAAAGATGAGAACCTATCAGGTGCTCGCCTTCCTCCTGGTCTTGGTGATCGCCTCTGTGGCCTCTGAAAACGCCAGCACGTCCCGGGGCTGCGGGCTCGACCTCCTCCCTCAGTACGTGTCCCTGTGCGACCTGGACGCCATTTGGGGCATCGTGGTGGAGGCGGTGGCCGGTGCAGGCGCCCTGATCACGCTGCTCTTGATGCTCATACTCCTGGTGCGGCTGCCCTTCATCAAGGACAAGGAGAAGAAGAGGCCCGTGTGCCTCCACTTCCTCTTCCTCCTGGGGACCCTGGGCCTCTTTGGGCTGACGTTCGCCTTCATCATCCGGATGGATGAGACTATCTGCTCAATACGCCGCTTCCTCTGGGGTGTCCTCTTCGCGCTCTGCTTTTCCTGCCTGCTGAGCCAGGCGTGGCGTGTGCGGAGGCTGGTGTGCCAGGGCACAAGCCCCGCAGGCTGGCAGATGGTGGGCCTGGCACTGTGCCTCATGTTGGTGCAGGTCATCATCGCCACCGAGTGGCTGGTGCTGACAGTGCTGCGAGACACGAAGCCAGCCTGCGCCTATGAGCCCATGGACTTCGTGATGGCCCTCATCTACGACATGGTACTGCTTGTGATCACCCTGGGGCAGGCACTCTTCACGCTCTGCGGCAAGTTCAAGAGGTGGAAGCTGAACGGGGCCTTCATTCTGATCACGACCCTCCTCTCTCTGCTCCTTTGGGCAGCCTGGATCACCATGTACCTCTTTGGCAACGCCATGATGCAGCAAGGAGATGCCTGGAGCGACCCCACTTTGGCCATCACGCTGGCGGCCAGTGGCTGGGTCTTCGTCATCTTTCACGCCATCCCCGAGATCCACTGCACCCTCCTCCCGCCCCTGCAGGAAAACCCACCCAACTACTTCGACACGTCACAGCCCAGGATGCGGGAGACGGCGTTCGAGGAGGACGTGCACCTGCCACGCACCTACATGGAGAACCAGGCCTTCTCGATGGACGAGCACAGTGCAGGTAATATGTGCACACCTGGCTGGGGCTGTTCGCCCCGGAAGGACTCTCCCCTGAGTGGAGATGAGCGGTCCCTGTCCTGGAGGCAGACCGGAGTCCACAGCGACACTGCCTGTGTTGAAACTGCCTCTGAGATGGGTTTTCAGTTAGCTTTTCTTCCCACTAACTGCCAACTAATTAATTATAAAAATCCAGGCTTTTCTCACAAAGTCAGGGCTGGGGAGGGGCTCAGTGGTAGAGTGCTTGCTTAGCATATGCCAGGACCTGGATCTGATCACCGGCACTGAAAAAAAAACAGTTGAGCTGGTCTCGGTGGTGCACACCTGTAATCCCAACACGTTGGGAGGCTGGGGCAGGTAGAACGCAAGTTCACATCCAGCTTAGGGAACTTAGTGATTTAATGTGACCCCGTCTCAAAATAAAAAAGGCCTGGGATGTAGCTCATTGTGAAGGCCCTGGATTCAACCCCCAGTCCTGCAAAAGAAAAGAAATTGTATTGTGCAGCACTGCGCTGACCTTCCCATTTGTCTGGAACTCGCTTAGGCCAGTGGCTACTGAAAGGCCCTGTCTCTAGGGCCTCACCAAGCTGTGGTGCCCCTCCGTGGGGATCTACAGGCTGCTTGCCACACTCTCCACTCTTTCTTTTGCTCCCTCATCCAGCCACTGTGTACACTGCCATTAATTCTCTGGTGCCCCAGAAGTGCTTGAGTTTGCAACCCATGTGCTAGATGGATGCAGGATGCTACAACAGTCAGTGTTCTCCCTTCCCCACCTCAGTCATCGGGAATGTACAGATTTGGGCTCTGAAAGCAGCTGTCTGGGTTCAAGTTCTGCCTGTGCCATTTCCCAGTTGGGTGGTTTTGAGGAAATGATATCACCTTGCTGAGCCACAGTTGTTCTCCCCTGAGAAATAAAAACACGAGGACATACCCCATAGAGCTGTTGCAGGAAGTAACCAAGCCCCCGTGGTACCTGGCATGGAGCATGTATGTCTTGGTTGGTCCTCTGAAAGCAGAGGCCTAGACAAGGGTGTGGGGCAGGGGTTCACTTGGGATGAGGACCTGCACCTTCCCCACTCGAGAAGGCGAGGACAAGGTGCCAAGATAGTGCACCTGTGAGCTGTTACCACCATGGGCAGCTGGAGACACAGGTAGAATGAGTCCCAGAATTGGCCCTGGAAGGACAGGAGGCTGGGGCATTTTCCCTGCTAACTCCTGACTTTAACCAACATTCCCTTTACTCTGGTCAGTGGACTGAACATGTTTCTATTGGGTTCTAAGGCCAAAAAACAAATTTGGTGAGACTTGAGGTGACACTGTCTAGGTACCAGGACTGCTGCAGTCAGATTCAGAAGTGAGGTCATAATAAGACCTGCCTGGGGGATGCAATACAGGGACCTAGCCAAGGCCCTGCTATATATGTAAATGCTTGAGAAGTGTCCCCTCGAATCATTGTGGAAGGGAATTGGCTGAGTTCCCGGCACTCGAGATGAGACAAAATTACCTTTTCTCATTTACCTGAAGAAACATCAAGGCTAACAACAACAACAGCAGCAGCAGCAGCAGCAGCAGCAAGAACCAATAATAGGAGTGGCAGGGGAAGTAATGATTAGCTAGTGTAGTCACCATTTGGAGCACTGACTCTGTGCTAGGCATGATTCTGCTTTAGCCGTCGCCGATGAGGTAGCCCCACCATCATTCTTATCCTACAGATGAATGATTAAATGGAGGCTCTAAGAAGATGGCCCATGAGACCGTCATGATTCCCACTTTAGCGACATTCACCCAGGTGCCTGGCAAATGGACTGTGCTCAGTAGCCAGTCATACTACGCAGTCAGCCTTTTCAGGTTGCAGGCCAAGGCCTAGAGCACAGCCTGCCCATCCCTGCAGGCAAGGAGGGCGCGTTCATCCAAAAGTTCCTTCAGGGCCACCCACATTCCTCCACTCCTATGCACTCCCTGCCCCTGCAGAACCTTTATCCAAGCTGCCCTCTTTTACCAAAAGTTCCAGGCCAGGAAGCCTATGTTGAGAGGCCAGCAAGCTTGGCGGTCTCAGCCAGCTGGGGGGCTGCTCCTTGGGATGCCAGAGATGGGGTCTGGATAGAGGTCTTTCCTGGGAGCCAGAGGTCCCTTCAGGGGGTGTGGTGACTGGCCAGTTCCGGAGGTCCTGGTGGAGCCACCTCTTCACTGGATCATTACCTGCACTCTTTCTCATAAAAATGTAGCCAGCATTTTGTGTCCATATGAGATCCAGAGATCAGGGGACCCAGATTGGTACCAACAGTGTCAGGGTTGGCCTGCAACCAGGTTGAAAACACTAGTGTTCAGCATGTGCTTGCTCAAACCAATGTGGAGGTCTTTCCAAGGTCAGTAGCATAGAGCTACAATATCCTTTGGATGCTGCAGAGTTTTCCATTAGATTGCACGATTTATTTTTCTGATATTCACCTGGCAAGTGTTCTGCTTGCCTCTGGTTTTCCTTAGTAAACAGTGCTGCAGTGAACACGCTTATTGGTTCATCTTTCTGCTTTTGTGAGGCATCAATTCATGCATCACAAAAAAATTGCTAGATAAGAGTCCAAGAGTTTGAGTGTTAAATCTTCATACATAATGCCAGAAGGCACCCAGAAATGCAGACTGCTTTACTGACCCCACTTAATAATTGCATGAGCTCCATCTCCCCACCTCAGAGGGAACTTTAGGTTTTGTCAGATTTTTTTCCCATTACTAGGGATTGAACCCAGGAAGTGCTGAGCTACATCCCTGCCCCACCCCCTTTCTGAGGCTGGGTCTCAGTAAGTCACCAAGTTTCTCAGGCTGGCCTCAAACTTGTCTACTTCAGCCTCCTGAATAGCTAGGATTACCCATGTGAACTACGAAGTTTTTTTTAATAGCCCTTATTGGATCATCCCAAATTTGAATCCACCAAATGCACAGGAGACCAGGCAGGGCAGGCTGCAGGCAAGGTTGGTTCCCTCAGAAAGCTCACAGAGTGGCTAAGCCGGAGTCCTGGTAAGGCTGCCCTTTATTCTAGAGACCCTTGCCTTGCCACTGGGAGCCATCTGGGCACACTCCCGTACCATAGAGGAGCAGCTGTTGGCTTCTTTGGTGCTGACCTCAACCAGTTTGTATTTTAGGAACCTGGCCCCATATGGAACCTAACCCTGGAGCCCTTGGGCTTCCTGGAATAGCCAGGATACAGAAGTTGTAGTTGGTCCTGTTTCTCTTGCATTTGAAACTTCCTGCCAGCCTTGCATGCTCTCCTCCTTTGCTACAGCCCCAGCCTACATGCCTGCCTGCCTTTCTACCTTCCTTCCCCCTCCCTCCCTCTCTCCTTCTCTCCCTCTCTCCCTTTCTTTTTCTTTCTCTCTCCCTCTCTTTCCTTCTCTTTTCTTTTTGTTTGTTCTTTCTTTCTCTCTCCCTTTCTCTTTTGTTCGTTCATTCTTTCTCTCTCCCTTTCTTTCTTTCTCACTTGCTCTTCTTTTTCTTTTCTTTTCTTTTCTTTATCATTGTGAGACAGGGTCTTGCTGAGTCACCATGTTTCCTGGGTAGGGCATGAAATTGCAATCTTCCTGCCTCAGCCTCCCAGAGTGCTGGGATTATAGGCATGCACCACTGTGCCTGGGCTTCTCTTCCCTTGAGGCCCTACATATATACAGCTTCACCAGCCTGCTGCTCGAGAATAAATGTCAATGAGGCCTGAGGTATGCTATAAAAAATGAAAGTATGGAGGGCTATGGCACCTTGGACCACATCTTACAAAGCATTAACAAGGCACAGTAAATGTTCACCTTTCAAAGCACCTTCTCTGATCTCATTAGAGCTACGTGCTATTTAAACAGACCCTTTAGGCTAGGGGTGTTGCTCAGGGATAAAGCGTTAATAAACAAACACACTGGGCAGCAGGCTGCAGGAAGGGTTAGATTCCGGATTGGAGTAATGGATGGTAAGATTTGGTCTTTCTCCATCTCTTGGCTGTTAGTGTCCTGGCAGCCCATAAGCTCCAGGCTTGCACAGAAGCCCAGTGGAGAAGTGGAACATTTCCCAGGAGCCTGCGCGCAGCTCCCAGGCTTAACTCTGATTGGACCTAAATGTTTTCCCCTGAGCCAATCAGTTTGTCCAGGGGGATGGGCTGAGTTACGAGGCCAGAGAGGAGGCAGTTGTGGCCAACACTTCAGGGGTCTTAAATGCAGGGTGGACGTTCATCAGAAGAGCCACAAATGGCCACTGCAGGGAGGGAGCTTGGTGCTCACCCCACCTGCAGCTCTTGTGGCCCTGCATTTCAGAAAAAGCTGTACAATCAGCTCTTCAAAGGCTTGGAGATGCCAGAGCAAGGAGAGTTTTCTTAAGTGTTCTTGGAACCTGTGTTGCCCATCCCACCTTCATTTCTTTGGTCCAGTCTGGGCCGAGCTGTCTCTGATGTCACTTAACTCAAATTTCTTCTAAGTGATGTAGTGTAATGGTTAAAACCAGTTATCCGGAGATGGTAAGGCATGATGCTGAAGAACACCAGATTTCTGTCTGGGTTCTAATGCTCATTGTGTCCCTTACCAGCCATGGAGCCTTGGGCATTGCCTGGCTCCTGGTTGATACTCTAGGAAGGTTAAGTGTAGTACTGAGGTGATTCTGGTCTCTGCCTTGAGTAATTTGTGAAAAACCCAAGCTATCTTGCTCATTTTAGCCAGAAGGGAAGACTGTTAAGTAAGACCACCCTCCTACTCCTCCTTTTCCATGCAGGGCCTCATACATTAGGCAAGTGCTCTACCACTGAGCTATGTCCCTAAACCCAAGGCCTTTGCACTCAGCTACATCCCCAGTCTTTTTGTTTTTTTATTTTGGGACAAGGTTTCACTAAGTCACCAAATTTCCCACACTGGGTTTGAATTTGGATTCCTCCTGCCTCGGCCTCTCAGAGTGTGGGATTACAGGTCTATGCCATCATGTCTGGCTAGGACTAGTAGTTTCAATGAGAAGAAAAATGGTGTCGATGGCCTCTTACAAATGAGAAAATTCTGTTTTGATTTTTTAAGTAGAGTTTCTCCTCTTTTTTAAATTGTGTTTTAGAGAAGTTTATTACAAAGTTGCCTGGCACGGTGGCACACAACTGTAATCCCTGATACTCAAGAGGCTAAAGCAGAAGGATTCTAAGTTCAAGGCCATCCTGGCAACTTAGGAGGACCCTGTCTCAAAATCAAAAGGGTATATAAAAAAGGAAAAGACACAGCACAGTGATAGAACACTTGCCTAGCATGCATGAAGTCCTGAATAATTCATCCCTGGAACAACAAAAACAGAAATTAAGCAGGAATCACAGGGAGTTCCCCCCCCCTCACACACATGTCGTTTCCTCTATTAACAACTTGCATTAGTCATATATTTGTTACAGTTGATGAATCAATATTAATACATTATTTTTATTCAAAGTCCTCCTTTTTTTTCAGTGCTGGGGATAGAACACAGGGCTTTGCACACGTTAGACAAGCACTCCGTCTCTGAGTTACATCCCCAGACATAAGGTCTATATTTTAATCAGAGCTCATGTTTTTGTACTGTACAGTTCTATGGGTTTTGACAAATACATTGTGACTGTGTCCAGTGTAGTATCATACAGAATAATTTCACTGCCTTAAACACCCTGTACACCTCCTGTTCATCCCTCGTCCAGCCCTGACCCCTGAAAACCACTCATCTTTTACTGTCTCTATAGTCTTACCTTTTCAAGAAAGTTATATAGCTGTAATCATACATTATAAGCCTTTAGCAGTAAGCATTTAAAGTTCCTCCATGTCTTTTCAGTTTTTCCTTACAAAACGGGAAATTTAGGCCAGGTGTGGTGGCACCCACCTATAATCCCAGCACTCGGGAGGTTGAGGCAGGGGGATTGCTACTAGTTCAAGGCCAGCCTGGGCTGCATAGTGAGGTCAAGGCCAGCCTGAACTACATAGTGAGACCCTGTCTCAAAGAACAAAACAAGAAACTTAAAAATGTAGCAAATAAGAAATACCATTTACCCACCTTTCTAAGGTAAAAAGTGCTAACTTATTTTTCCATTATTGCTGCCGACCACCCTTCTATTCTTGTTTGGGCATAACCCTGTGTGCCTGTGGAAGGCCATTTTCCCAGGATGACAGGCGCTATTGTGTGCTTGATGTCTGTGTTCTTAGCGGTCCCATCCCTGTGTGTATCCAAAGACAGTGCCCGATTCTGAAAGTTGGTGCTGACTTGTGTGTGAGGCTGTCTGCAGTGAGGAGGAGGTGGCTCTTTTTTCAGAGGAGACCTGAGGCTGCTGTGGCCTGCAGACTCTGTGTGCAGTGATGGCGACCCTATGGCATGCATGTCGCAGCAGACTGTTTGATGTCATTGAAAGTTCTAAAAGGCTCACCATCACTGGTCTAGACCCCGGGCCTCCTGCCCCTGCAAGCTGCAGGCACCTGGACTCTACACACGTCCCAGCCCCACCGAGATGGGTCAGACTCCTAGAGAGCCTGAGAACAAAGCTCCTTTGTGATTTTTGTTTTGAATCAGGCTTGTGACAAAGGGGAGGAGCCACTGCAGTGGGTGGTGGGTGGGGGTGCCCTGAGTGCCTTGTTGTTGCAGAGGAAGAAAACAAAATCATGTCTCTCTTTTGGTGTTGTCATGCTGCCAATCCCTCCCTCCCTCCCTCAGCTCTCCGAACAGCAGGATTTTCCAACGGCAGCTTAGGAAAAAGATCCAGTGGCAGCTTGGGGAAGAAACCCAGCAGCGGCTTGGGAAACAGACCCAGCGCTCCATTTAGAAGCAACGTGTATCAGCCAACTGAGATGGCCGTTGTGCTCAATGGTGGGACTGTAAGTATCAAGATGTGACGCTGGGCAGCAAGTCCCAGAGCACACTGTGTGGGGAGCAGCTGCGACAGGGGCACACATCCTGTGGAGGCTGCTTCTGTGGTCTGCAAAGACAGCGGCTCAAGTCGACATCCCTTGCAGCTCAATGCATGCAGTGCTTCCATGTTCCTTCTTTCCCTCCTACCCCCTTTCTCCACTCACAGAAACCCGACTTATACGGTACTTGGTTAACCATCTGTCGCTTCCTTAGGAGGAGTACCTGTTTCTTGGGGCTCTTTACTCTTTACCCAGTGAATTCTTTGGCTTTCCTTAATACAGTGCACTGACCCGCTCCCTGGGAGGTGACTTTAAGGAAAGGCCCCGGGGCACAGCGCCCTGGCACATTGTGCTAACGTCCCCCCCTAGTTTAGGCCCCTTGGTCTCCACTTACCCTTGTGCCCCAACTGGGCGCGGGGCTGCCCCACCCCAGCTCCTGAGAGACCAGAGCGCTTACCTTTGACTCTTCAAACACAAAACCACGTTTACTATCTGATGCCAAACAGGCTGTCGGCAGAATCACCATCCTTTCTGTTTTGCCTCCGTGGAACATGATTTTGATTTTCCAGCAGTTCTAAGATGCACTCTCATTCCCACATTTAATTTCCAAACATAGCTATGTGCTTCTTTCAAAAACAGCACATGTGTAAACTGAATTTCCATTCTTTATTTCATGTGCCAATTCCATACTCAACCTGAGCATTCTTTTTTTTAATTTTTTTAATTTTTTTAATAAATAGAAGTCAGGGATGGTCTTTGATCTCCGGAGGGAACTTTGGTTTCTCTGGCTTGTGAATGGTCCACTGGACCTCAGTTTGCATTGGTTTGGAAAAGCTCAAATATAAAATGAATCAGATTTGTATTCTTAAAATCCCCTACCATCACTGTGCTGTTTGTTGTCCAGAGCCAAGAAAAGCCTGATGAACAAGCATTCAGCCTGTGTGTTACAATTAATATGGTTAGGAAAGTCCCCATCTGACACTCTTAAGCTCTCCTGATTCATTCAAGATCACTGTGGGTAAAAACACCCAAAGCTTAGAGAGTGCCTTTCAGGGTAAGGAAGCCTGTATCAAAGAGGGAATAACTGCAGCACCAAGGAAGTAGCCTTCCCAAGATACAAAACAGCATGGCACACCATGGTTGCTGCTTTCTTTGGGGATTATTCAGCCCATCTAGGCAAGAGCAGGGCAGCTTACCCTTAGCACGTCGTGAATGAAGCAGTTTCTGATGTTGACGTTGAGTTCTCAGTGTGTTATCCTTATGTGTTATTCCAGATCCCAACCGCTCCGCCAACTCACACTGGAAGACACCTCTGGTGAACAACTTTAAGTTCCAGAGAATAAGAATCTCTCTTACCATTTCCATTCCCTGGCCGTGTCTTTCTTGAGGGAGAAATCAGTAACAGTAGCTGAGCAAGGCCGCCTCACAGCCAGGAGAGTTGGAAATTCCGGCCGAGGGCCTTTCGTGTAAATGTGAACACTGATGAACTGAAAAGCTAACACCGACTGCCCTCCCCTGCCCTCCTCTGGCACACACACAGACACCTAATGCCACACCAACCTTGGTCCCTGCAAACTAAAACAGAGCTCATTGCAAATAGTACTAGGCTCACTGGGAAATGTGGCGAGGAAGACTGTTTCATCCTCTGGGGGTGGAACAGAACTGAATTCACAGCTTGTGAGCCAGGCTGATGTTGGCCAGATAGAGGGTGGGGGGCAGCCCATCAAGCCCATCCCTCCCCAGTAAGTGCCAGATCCTGGTGGCCTCTTGGAGATGACTGTGTCATTGAGGCTTTTCGCTGGCTTGCCTGTTGGTTTGCACATTTCAGGGGAGTTATGCTATGGGTGTGATTCTAAGGTCAATCGTGGGGGCAGTTTTATAGCCAGAAGTGGTGTAGGAACCTGGCACGTGCCAAAGAGGACAGGCCCCCTGGGCCTTGAAGTGACCATCATCTCTCACTCTAGCACCTATGACAAGAAAGCCATCTGCCCCCTTCTCTGGGGAGCCCCAGAAATATCTAAGCATGGTGGAGCCACAGTCCCTCCTGCTTCCTGCACTCATGGGGGTCCCTTTCCCAATTGTATCCCCTTATTCGTTCCAAAAGCTCAAATGGAGCCATGGGCTGGAAGCCCCTCTGAGAGGCAGATTGGAAGGCCAGCGCCATAGCAGATTTTTCCACCATGATGTCACATGGCAGGGCTGCCTGGATTCCCAGTAGGGTGGAGAGGTGACGTCCTGCTGCCTACAAGCAGTGACCTCTTGGGTCTTTTCTATGGATTGGGAAAGTCCCCAGGTGGAGTGAATCCCTTGAGGGTTTCTTGCTGCTTTGGGAGAAAGTGGGGGACATTTTTCTCTTGCTTTTCTGCAGGTTTCATGAAAATGGCTCTCTTCAAAGCCCATTATTTCTACCATGGTTTCCATCTGTCCTAAGCAAGTCATCCCTTTGTTACTTGGCATTTCCAACATCCCGGCCATTAAAAGCCCCCATGTTCTCTGCACTGTTTGGCCAGCATAATTGCTAGCAACGAGTCAGAGCAAAGAGTTTTATCCTGACACGTGGAATGTATCAACAAGGGTGGGGCCTTTTCCATAGACTCTAATCACTACATTGCTTTTTCTATAAAACTACCCATAAGCCTTTAACCTTTAAAGAAAATGGAAAAGGTGAGTGTTGGGGGTGGGAGTGGGGGTGGAGGTCGGGGAACCCAGCCTCTTCATCAGCCAGTACTTTTGCGCTGAGTGTGTTTTAATAAACCTGATTTGTCTTGAGGCCCTAGTCTCTGCTGTGTCCCCTCCCGGCCCCTACCTGTCCTTGGAGAGCACTGGGGGTGAGGCCAATCTGGCCAGCCCCGCGTGCAGATTTCCCTTACAGCTCCTGCATTTCCTTGTGTTACCAAGCATGGGGACAAGAGAGCATGGCACCAAGATGTCCCCTTTCCTGAGCTTCCCAGAGCGCCGACCCCACCCACAGCATGTGCTTTGCTTCTAGAGAATCTGATCTGTCCTCTCTGCGCGAGCACCACCATTGGGTGGGCTGAAAACTTGGAGTCTTGGGGAAGGGGAGGGAAGGAGCCAAGGCCTAGGGTGGGGTGGGGGTGGCTGCATGCAGACCCAGCATTCTGCAAATAAAGAAGTCTCAGAACCCCTCGGTCCAGTCTGCGGGAAAAACGACAGCATTGCACATTCTCATGCTAGGAAATGATTGCTCACCCCTGCTCTCTGGAGTCCTTTGGAGCTTTCTGATACCATCAGTGACTGGTCCGCAAGAGCCCCCCTTGCAGAAGGGAGGAGTTCGCATGATGGATCGGGCCCCTCTAAGTTCTTTGTTGTCCACACGTATAAGGTGAGCACTGTGTAAATGGCTACCTGTGAAGAGCAGCATTTCTGCATCATAAAAACAGAACCAACTTTGAGCCACGGGAAACCTCGCTGAATGAGACCATTTCTATTTCTTTTTCTCCTTTTAAATCTGATAGGTTAGTGCTTCTGGCTTTTGTTTTATTTTGGCTTTAAGGTTCAGGGTGGGCTGTGTGCTCTCACAGTGAGGGCCAAGGCAGGAAAGGGGAATCTATTTTTCTAACGGGTTCACTCAAGCACCAAGAGGAGGCTTTGCCCAGAGACTACTGCGTCTGGCTTCCTACAGAACAAGGTTTAAATACGGAATTGAATGGCACCTCAGTTTCAGATTTGTGTATGTAAACAAGGCTTATTTGGGGAAAGTGACCTGGAAGGACAGCATCTGTGAATAATCCCTTGTTGTAAGCACAAATTTTTCCATGTCTTATTAGTAATATCGCTTTGGAACTGTAACAGCCACTCTTGTCGCCTCTTTTAATAGAAAATTGTTCCAGCCTGAATTTCTCCACTGGAGATGAGGGCGGGGGGGAATGAGTTCCAAAAACTTAGAAACTGGGGAGCCCTGACATCTGGAGGATTTCTAGGATTAAGAGCCAGCTGTTGGAAACTGGATGTCTAGCGGTGTTTTGTTTTGTTTTAGCACAGATGTAAGGGGTTAGGGTCCCCGAACAAGTGCAGACTGGGGGTGGTCTTTTGGGTTGCCACAAGCTGAGTCAAACACTTCAGGCTGAACCCCAAACTAAAAGAGAGCATGGTGGCTTTTATAATCCAAGGGTACAGTGATTATACCAGCTTCGGGGAGTTCTCAGCAGGTGCTTTTTATTAATTGACACAGAGCTAAGGCTCGTTTTTGATAGATAATATATATTTATTAAATGTATTAATGTGTTTTATAATGTACCTTTATCTTCCCCTGGCTGACTTGCATACTTATAAAAAATCATTCAGAAATTTCAAGACAATCAGTGTGTACCATACATGACTATAAATATTACAAATTTAAAAGGTTGTTAAGCATGAGCAGATAGGTTTTATTTTCAAAATGCTGTTCTTAACACAAAAAAATAAAGGCTTTACTATTTACTTAAGACGTGTGGTTGCTTTTCAAAACAATCCCATACCCCTCCTAGGCTTTTGGCTGAGTCTGTGGCTTTGTGAATAGGAGAATCCTGCTTAACTGCAAACCGCAGAACAAGTGAGAGGCATAAGTTAATTTACCCACAGAAATAGGAACTTTCTAGAATACTATGGGGCCTAGACAACACAAATTCTTAGTGATTGCTGTCTGGGTTTAAATGTCTCATCTTGAGCTGAGGTGTGTGTAACTGAGTGGTAGGACTCTTGCCTAGCATATACCACAAGGCCAAAAGCAGAAAAAAACTCAGAGATTTGAAACATAAAATACGGAGCCTGCAAAAGTGGGGAAAATGATAATAAGGACACTTCATCTCTTGGAATTAGAATTCCATCGTGGCTTTTAAGAATAATTGGCTGAAAGGGTAACATCTAAAGCACTGAAGAAATACGTAGATGAAAGAATAATGTGGGGATAATGAAGGAATTAAGACTGGTTTCTTTCTAAACTATTTGCACTAAAACACGTTCGTGACAAATCCTGTCGTGTGCAGAAATGATTGTTTCCACATGCACTACGTCTTTTCGTTAAAGAAGTGATAGAGAAAGCACAGTGTGCACAATTTCCTCATACACACAGGGTAATTTGTGCCCTGCTGGCAAAAGATACCAAGGGTGGCTAAGGTGATGTGATCCTGACTCCAGGCGCCTCCTGGTCCTCCATTTTGCATTTCACTGCAGAGAGATGAAAGAGAGCGTTAGGATCAATTTCCATTGGCAGACATACTTGGGATTTAGAAACAGGAAATGCTGATGTGTAGACAAGGTCAGTTGCAGCAGAATCCGTGGAGTGCCCTGGTCCTGACCCTGCCAGTCCCCTAGAAGGAACACAGGTCTATTGTGCTCCAAGAGCGCACCTGAAGGTACACAGCAGTGCTGTCCAAGGCCACCCTTCTTTCAGTTCAGAGAAAGGTTGAAAGTGTATTTTGCAGGTCAAGGTACTGACAGAAAGAAGTTTCAGTAAAGGTGATGATAGGTCCAGGCTTTTGACTCAACCCAATCTTTCACCACACACTTGTTCCCCTCCACCCACCCAAAATGAAAACCTCAGGGTATTGCTGGGGTCAGCGACCAGAAGAGAATCTTTTCTCTGTCCTAGTCTAGACAAGAATGTGATCCCAGTGAGTTCTGAATCTGCCAATCAGAAAAACATGGGACTGTCTGTAAAGAGAATCTCAACAAAAACTCCTCCCCAAAGAACGATGAAAGCCCAGTACCTTGCATGGATAGGAGAGATCCTTTTGGAAAGAACTCTTATTTTTGTTTGTTTTTTTGATTTTTTTAGTAACGGGGATTGAACTCGGAACCTTGTGCTTTCGAGGCAGGCAGCAGAACCACTGAGCTAAACCCCCGGCTCTCTCTTCTTTTAGTGTAATTTAATTGTGTGTGTGGTGTTGAAGATTGAACCCAGGGCGTTTTACACTGAGCTACATCCCCACCCATCCCCCCACACCCCTCTTTTTTTGAGACAGGGTCTCACTGAATCACTAAATTACCCAGGCTGGGCCCGAACTTGCAGCCTTCCAAGCCTTCTAGACTGCTGGGATTAAACACATGCACCGACGAGGCCAGCTGTTTCTTGTTTTTGTTTTTGTGGTGCTGGGATGGAACCCAGAGCCTAGCACACGATAGGCAAGTGCACTTATCACTGAGCTGCACCCCTGTCCGAAGACATTGAATGTTTAATTTGTCTTTGTCACCAGGAGCCAAGTACTTGCCTCCTACGTGAACGCCTGAAAGGTTGCTGCAGCGGGGCCCCAGGCTTCACATAAGCATGACCAGTATCCTTCTAGTAGAAAAGGTGTTTGATTCCATTACCTTGAAGGGCTGAGGGTCAAAGTGAGCTTGGCTTAAGGTGTATGCTCAGCCAGACAGGAGCAGGGAGGCGGGCTTTTACCCGGCCCATGCAAGTCAGGCATTTCCTGGCAGAAGTGGGGTGAATCCCTCCAGCTCAGCCCAGCCAGCAGTCTTCAAGCGGAAAGTAGACACAGACTTCCCAAGGCGTCTCAGCCGTAGTTCATTCCAAGGAAATCAATTCCCTCGACTTGGGAGGTTTTCATCAGTCCTCCATTCCTACCTGACACCATCTTGGGCCAGTGTGCAAAATTCCTCAGGCGTGGAGCAAGAAGGCAATTTGAAATATTGAGAGCCCCCAGAGTCTCCATTATTTTTGGTTTAATCACTATAAAAACATAATGTGTTTCTTTGATTTTGTTCACCACTAATATTGTACAGGTTAAGCACGCCTAACCTAAAAATTCAGAACTCAAAATATGCCAAGACCAAAACTTTCTGAGCACTGACATGATGCTGTGAGTGGAAAATTCCACACTGTGAAACTATGTTAAATGCACAAGATCATTAAAGATATTGTATATAATCACCTTTCAGCTATGTGTATAAAGTATATTTTAAACATAAATAAATTTAATGTTTAGATCTGGGTCACATCCTCAAGATCTCATTATGTAAATGTGAAACTTCCAAAATCTGAAATCCAAAGCACTTCCAGTCCCTTTCAGCCAAGAGATATGCAACCTGTATTAACTCAACCCAGAATAGTCTTTTTAACAGTAGGAGCCAGTGATCACAGGGATTTCTTTCCAATGTACAAGATGTACATTTCCCCCCATATACATAGAAGCTCTGCAGGCAGCCACAGTGAAGATGCTGCATCCATCTCGACCCCATCAATGATGGCATTGATCCCTTGCAGCCAAGGATGCTGGCACCTTGCTAATGCTCTCCCAGTGTTCCCCAGTGAACCCTGATGGGTTGGGTTGAGCACATGATGGCTGACTGGGGGTGGCGAAAGTCCTGATTTGCAGCATTTGCCTTGTCCATTGCCTATTTCAAGCTACCAGCCTAACTACACAATACAGGTTTGGGAAGAGGTGTGCACAACTGGGCAGAGCTGGGCTGCTCTGGATCCCCACAGGGAGGAACGTAGGTGAATTTGTGCAGGCAGAATTTCAGATCTATGACCTGGTTCTCAAGTGTGGCCAAGGAGCATGGGGAAATAGGTAGAAATGCACATTCGAGGCCCCATTTCAGATATACAGAATCAGAAACTAGGAGTGGAGCTGAGAAGTCTGCATTTTAGCATGCTCATTTTGGTCAGCTTTCCTGTTGCTGGTAAAAAATACCTGACACCTGCCACTTAAAGGAGGACAGGTTTAATTTGGCTCACAGTTTCAGGGGTGTCAGTCCATGGTCAACTGGCTCCAAGGCAGAAACACAGTAGAAAAGCATGGTGGAGCAAAGCTATTCATCTATTTCATGGTAGCTCTGGAAACCAAGCACAGGAGAAGAGTGCCAGTGAGAGATTTATCCTCCAAAGGCAGCCCTCAGTGGCCCTCCTCCTAACAGTACATTCAGGTGTGAATACCAGTGGATTAATCCTCTGTTGAGTATAGCACCGTCATGACCCAATCACCTCTCCAGGAATCTTTTAATCCAGTCAAAGTGGCAAGATGAACTGGTGTAAAGCCCTGCAGGAGATTCTGATGGATACCAGTGAAAAGTTAGGCCCACTGACTACAAGTTCTCTGCCCTGGCTGCATATAAAAATCATGAGGTCACTTCAGAAATTCTGCCAGGGCCCCAGACACTGGTATTTAGTCAAAGCTCCTACATGTTGGAAATGTTGAGCTAGGGTTGAGAAACAGAATGTGATTGGAATCCCTATAAAGAAATGTGAATGTAAGATCCCTAGAGAAGTCTAGAATTTCCTTCAGCTTCTAAGCATCATGTTGGCTGTGAGTCAGACTCAAAATTTAACCTATTTTAAAGACATTCTCTCTGGCCTACAACTAGCAGACAGACACTGGAGGTATGAGAAGGCAGAGAAGGGTTTGCTTCTGGGAGGAATTCACAGCCCTTAGATTTGCTCTGGTTTTCCTCAGCCGTGTCTGCAGGAAGTGCCTTTGCACACTCGTAACCAATTTCTGCTCATGCCTTGACCACTTCTTTACCTTTCCCCTATACTTTGACCTTGCCTAGGAAAAGGCCCTTATTACCTCTTTCAGAACAACACGCAGAAATCTTGAGGGAGGAAAGGGGACAGGACTGAAACAGTGTTACTCCTTCTAAATGTTGAGAGAGAGTGTTAGAGCCAATGTGCTGCAGGTAAAGGTGGGAAGTGGAGCCTCTCAGTGGAATCACCTGGGGAACTCGGGACAGTCCCCATGCCCAAGCCCCACTCCACTCAAAAATGCCGGAGTCTGGAGGGGCAACCACACTGGAAAAAGCATTACAGGTGATTCTATGTCCCTATTTCCTGCAGAAACCCCTGCACACACATACCAGGAGATGGGAATTGGGGTGCCCATGACTGCAGAAAACAGGAAACAACCCAAATGTCGATCAACAGACTGCAAGGTAAATAAATTATGGTCCTCCTGAACAGTGAGTGATTATATAGCAGCGAATATGAATGCTCCCCAAGTTAAATTAGCTTAATAGCACTGAAGGAAAAATGCATGACACAGAATAATACAAAGAGTGTGGTATTTGCAGTGAATCAAAACATTTAGGGATGCATACAAAAGTAAAGAGAACTCTAAAGGAAGCAAGAGAGAGATTAGAGCAGGAGTGAGGGCCAGGGGTTTATGGGTTGTGGGGAGCGGTTTTAAAAGCATTGACAGTGTTCTGTTTCCGCGGTGGTGATTACACGAGTATCTGCCTTGTGTGCTTTACAGTCACTATCGTATAGTTCACCCCACGCCACAAAAGTAAAAAGAACGACAGATACCAGTATACTGCTGGACGTTACCAAGTCAACCAATACAGGAATGGAAAAGATCACTGAAGGTGTTTAGGGAAGAAAGGGATGAGAGGTAAGTGGGCTAATCCTTATTTAGCACAGCGAGACGCAGTAATACCCAAAATCCGACCGACTGTGCAATCCTATCAGGGAAACAGAGCAGCCACCTGAGAAATGCTAAGTCCAAGGTCATTGCGTCTGGGGATGCACAAGGGTGATAAGGGCTAAGGGTGCTCATTGGAGCCTTTATTTTACCTTTGTACCTTTTGATCATGAGAACTATGTGCAAAGGCTACTTTGCTAAAAATTAAGAAATAGCTTGCAATCCTAGCACTCTGGGAAGCTGTTATGACTTGTGTCTAGAGGTCCCCCAAAGCCTCATGCGGTCATACGTGGGGCTTTTTCAGAGGTGACTGAATCTAGAGTGTGTTATGCTGGGATCAAAGGTGGATGATCACTAAGTCAGTCAACTGATTGGTTTGGCACCACACTAATCTTGGTAGCCTGGAGCATAAGACGGGAAGAAAGAAGCTGCTAAGGCCCCTTGCCTGCTTTACTACCTTCTACCTGCCACAAACTGCTTCTCCCCTGTGATGCCTGCCTGCCACGCCTCCCTGCCTTGGAGCCAGCTGATTATGGACTGAAACCTCCACAAACTGGAAGCCAAATAAACCTTTCCACCTTTAACTTTGGGTGTCAGGTATTTTGTCTCAGCAACAAGAGAAAAGTAACTACGACAGAGGCTAAGGCAGGAAGATTTTCAGTCCAAGGCCAACTTGGGCAACTTAGTGAGACAAGAAAAAAAAGGGAAAGAAAAGAGCAAAAAGAAAAACCATTTTGGAGGGGTCCTCCTGGTCTGACTAGAACACGAGGGAGCAGGCTAGGTGTAGCTCAGCGGTGGAGCACTGAGCTCAATTCCCTGTGGAGAGGGGTGGCCAAGAGGGTGACAGGCAACAGGGGACACAAGCAGGGCTGCCTTAGTTTAGAGATGTCACTGCAGTTGGCTCCCAGCTCCGACAGACAGATGCCTCGCTGCCCCTGTGCTGCCCTTGTCCCCTTGGCAGGGTGGTGCCCAGCCAGTTCCGGAAGGGCCAGGAAAGTGGAAAATCCCTGAGAGATGCGCCAGCCCTTCAGCTCCAGTTGAAGGCAAAGTGACAAGAAAGGCCTTGCATACTGATGAGCCTCATGTGCCTCTCAGGCTGCAGGAAGCACAGGATGGATAGAGAAGATGCTTAAGGCTCAAACGAGGGAATTGGGGGACAACAGAGTCACGCAGCCTCTCACAGTGTTGCCAGACAGCACCTCGCCATGGAGGACCACCAAAGGCAAGAATACAGATTCCTGGACCCCGCCCCAACTCTGAGAATCAACCCCGGCAGGGGGACCCAAGAATCAGCACCCTCAGTACCTTGCTTCAGGTGGTCTCTTTGACCTGGCAAGTTTGGGGAGGAGTGCAGTGTCACTCAGCTTGTTGAGTTGACTGTGGAGCCATCTTTGAGGATGGCACCTGCCTCTACAAGCACTGGGAAAAGCCAGAGGAGACTGACTTGTACATTTAAGTCAGCAACATGTACAAGAAACCAAAATGTTAATTTTTTTTACCCAATTAGCATGCACTTTCTGGGGTTCCAGATGGAGAATAAAGGCAAACTTGTCTATAATATTTATTAGGCTCTTGATACATATTAAGTCAGAGTGAAGTAAGTGCCGTTCTCTTCCCCAGTTTTACAGACAGGGAGACTGAGGTACAGACAGGTTATATAATACAACTAGCATGAGGTCACACTGTCAGCCATCTGGGTCCGGAATTCACTCCCTGCCCCCACTGGCTTCAAACTCCTGGGATCAAGTGATTCTCCTACCTCAGCCTCCTGAGTAGCAGGGACTAGCAGCACAATTTGTATTTATGCACTTCAGCTCTATAGGGTCAAGATCTCACACCTGCTTCCCACTTGGGGGGGGGCAAAGATTTCTGTAGTCAAAGATACAGTGCCCATGCACACAAGATCAGGGTGTGCACTGCTGTGTCATCAACCACAGGCCAGAGTGGGAGCTACCTGAACTCTCAGCTGTGGGGGAGGAGGGGCTAGGTATCTGATCATGGAGAAACTTGATGAAATACCATGAAGCCATTAAACATGTGATGTTTTAGCCAATTTGCAAAAGAAGAAGTATCAAGGGGAAAATACAACGGCACATTTCCTGGAACTTCTGATGATGTCCATTTGAAAGTGTTTTATACCACATTAACCAGTGTTGGTGCTGGAGACCAAAGTGATGGCACCAGTAAAAGAGGTGCAAATGGGGTTTGTTTGTTGGTTGATTGATTGATTGATTGTGGGACTGGGAATTGAACCCAGGGTCCTCAGTATGGAGCTACATCCCCCAGCCCTTTTTTATTTTTTACTGTAAGATAGCATCTCACCAAATCACTAAATTGTTCGGGCTGGGCTCAGATTTGTGATCCTCCCGCCTCAGCCTCCTCGAGTGCTGGGATTATAGTTGTGAGTCATCATGTCTGGCTGAAACTGGATTCTTTTCTTTAGTCATCCTGCCTTTTTCTTTTCTGTCCTGCATGCCTAAAGAAAACAAAGGTTGTTTTCCTCTTTTAGAACAAGTGGCTCCTATTTTACATTCATTCCTGGGTGTGGTGTTCACAGTACATCCTTTAAATATGACTGCTCCGTACAAAATTACACTCATTACCTCCAAAATTACATCCATTGCCTCAACTAAGTTATAGCCCAGCATCTCAACTATATTTTTTTTAAAAACTAAAAATAGATAAAAGAAGTAGGTGAATTTTCATTTTCCCAAATGTTCTACAATATGCAGTCCATGTGTTGCTATAAAATTGGGGGATTCTTTCTAAACGAATCATAGAAAAGAAAGACCCACAGGGAATCAATGCCCAAGTAGCGTTACTGTAATCAGTTAGCACCAAGGATGGGGAGAAGATGGCAAGGATAAGATATGGGGTCCCTGGTGGCCTGATGCTGCAGTTGTAACACAGACCAGAGCTCCCAGTTTCCCTAGATCCAGTTGGAAGACCCTGAAGAGAGAGCCTCCTCATGTGACACTGTCTTAGTAGAGGTGACCATTCAGAAAAATATTTATGAAATGTTTGCTAGGAAAGGTTTCTAACTAGTATGTCGATAGAAAAATAATATTCCCCCATTCCCAGTTTGCTTGCTAACTTTGAGGTCCAGCAGGCTCTGTTTTCAAATCCTGACACTATCACTTAATAACTCGCTGGTGTTCCACCCTGGCCATCAGCCTCAATTTCTTCACTTGAACCAGAAGTATAATAATTCCAATCTGTGAGGTATGGTGATACACACCTGTAACCCTAGCTACTTGAGAGGCTGGGGCAGGAGGATCACAAATGCAATGCCAGCCTGGGCTACTTAGCAAGACTCTATGAGAGAGAGAGAGAGAGAGAGAGACTCTTTGTAACAGCACTTGCCTAGGATGTTCAAGGTCAACAACATATTTTTTAAAAAGGAAGAAAAGCCAAGCCTCA